CCAATGCAATGCCACTGATGGCAATGCCATAATGGGGGTGAATTAAGTAATACGGAGACCCATCTGGGCATGTCACCTTGCCCTTTTCTCATCTGGGCTTTAACACGCAACAGCGTAGTTAACGCTTCATTTAAAATTCATATTGTTGGCATGAACATACGATTTGTGTCCAATGTTATTCATTTGTTCTTTCATTTTTGCTTATTCTGCTTTTCTGTTATAAAATAAAATCTTGTCGAAAATGTTTTCGAAACTATAACATTAGCTTCTTTTCAACTGGATGATATTTGGTCTTACAGGAGCTATGCGATCTCGATATCTTGACACTGTGAGTTCTACAGCTGTATCATTTCCTTTGAAGCCTTCCTTCGAGCGGGAAAAACGGAATGTCCGAAAACTTTTATCTAAATTTCTGTAGGAAGCAGATTCTAGAATGTTGAAAAAGATAAATGAGCAGTGGAGAAAGACAATGGACCATTCTGCAACAATGGCAAATCGGAGCTCAGAGAGTGCATCAGAAGATTTATATTGCCCGGAGTTTAATAAACGTTCAGTAGATTAAATAAACGAACGTTGAGTGACTGTAGACTTAGGATTCAACAATAAGTATTACACACTGATGTAAGGTTTACCAGCGAACGTCGCAATGTATCACTAAGATTGCAAACATTGATTATGAGTACATGCAAATCAATAGTCTACAAAAGTCACCACATACACGTCAATTTGATTTACACAGGCGTGCATGTACCAACAAAAAGGTAGGTAATAGATGGTTCAATGCATTCGAAACGCTGCAGCCTCTAAAATCAGCATCCTTGGTAAGTGGTTTTCAGTGTTTCAATTTAGATGATAGCTTATGATCTTCCTACTAATTGTTGTTCTTTGTCCAGAAGGCTGACGATGTGTGCTTTTGACTGCATACAAGCCGTTAACTTACTCACACAGATATTCTTTGAGAAATCTTAAAAATGTGTCAAAATATGTAATTAACTTCATGTTTGTACTCTTCTGTGATGATAACCTGACCAGCACCTGTACTTTTCTTAGCGGATTGTTGTTAAGGATTGGATTTACAAACAGTTTATGACTTTGGTTTCGCAATTTTAGATTGTGCTGTTAAAGTACCAGAGCTACCAGGTAAAGCGACTGAAATTTAGGCATTGTGTTTTTTTATTGACAAATACCCGAAGGGAGACGTCTCAGAAGCTGATCACGGACAATATGGCTCTGCTTGTTAAAAGACCTGGCGTTGTCAAGCCCCAGAGTAAGGACTACTGAACTTGTCCATTTGATGCGGATTAGAGTCATTGACCGTTCCTCCTAATATAATTGCCCTCATAACCCGGAAAGAATTGCGGACTCCAAAAATGAGCGAATGACTGCCTTTTAGATTAAGACCCATGATTTAACCAGACTTAAAAAATTTGGACGCTCTTGGCTCTTCCATGGCAGTCTATATTCTGTTTTTGATATCGGATGTGTTATTTATCTTATCGCGTTGTTTGTTCATGAAGAACGTAGATTTTGTTTACGATCCTAATCTAAGTCAGCAGGTATCTATAATACTAGTCAAGCAGCAAATCAGTTAATAATTAAAACTTCACGTTGATAAGTATGGGAGAGTATGAAATCTGACCAAAGATAAACTTTCTCTAATTTCTAATCCATTGGAGGCATCTACAAAACATAGTATTCAGCCGATTGCTCGATTTTGACTTCCGGTAACTGTTTATTAAGAAGATCTCCAAGGATCAACATTTTGTATTACTGCAGACTTCTTAAGCGAAGCCGTGTATGAGGGAAGGAATGAAGTGCAACAAGCAGAGGGGGTGGATGCATAACCGATTACAAATGGTGTCTCAAGACTAAATACACATCCGCGTGCTTTTGGAGGCGCAGTGCGATCGACAGCGATTGTATTATCATCGACATGAATCAATATTTTGCTGAAACATGAAAATTCAGACGATTTGATTAATGACTTAAAAATGGATGCAATTTATTACCGTGACCGTGGTTTCTCAAAAATGAACCTCAAATATTGTATCATATGACTTGTGTTGTGTGCTGAGATACTCTGCTTGTTGAATTGTAATGGTGCTTCTGTTTCACAGAATGCTTGCTGAGCTGAACCGGTTATAATAATTATTCACAGATTGCCTTTTAAGGCAACTTAGGTTCATTTCCGCTGTCTGTTTTAAATGACTTTAAACATTCGCATTGGGGTTTCCATGCTTGGTAGTGTCTCAGAGGCAGACCGGGAGACATGAACAGGAGAATTGGCTGGCACTGGCTCAAAGATTATATAAATTTTCCTATCCTCCGCTTTTGAGGCTACCGTTCGTTGGATCAGCTGTCCTGACTCTGACTACAGAATTCTGATGGATTGTCATCATAAATCCAGCTACAGAATGTAGTCCGTTTTTTACTCTAAAATCAGGAACCACACATCAAGAAAACAAAGATGATTCATACTTTCCTGAGTAGAAGAGTTGTTATGAATCTGTAAGAGTCGGTTAACGAGGCAGTTATAATGGGGGATTGGCAGGCCTTATTATTAATTAAGGCGGATCTGTCAAGAGATCAGTGCGTCCACTACAGATCGGTTCAGGGGTCACCATCGATTCTCATAATCAAAAAAAGCGTTAAAAACTTTTGACAGTTGATTCAAAGTTTAACAGCGATTCAGTATCGCAGGAAGATTTCTAACTCATTTTCAGACTTCTTTACCTGTAGGTACGAAGAACAACATACCTCTATTTAAGAGTTAACTTTTCCACCAGCATCGACAATGTTCAGTTGACTTTTGAACCAAATCTTTATTCTTTCGTTTGAAGACTTGCTGTTCTTTCACCATGCTCTTTACCCTATGAACGGAGGATGACCATGGAATGACTAATAGGTTAGTTAGATGGAAAGCACGTACGATCTTTGAAGAACGATCATGAGAAATCGGTGAAAACATTTGCCAAGACCAGGGCATGTGCGGGCTTAAACGTTAGCCTTATTTGATTGCAGCATGTCTTTACTTCTGCGACAGGAGATTGGTAGTTGTTGCTGTTTATAGTTTGATCGGTTTGCCAGGGGAACCCTCTGAGTGCGAAAAAACTACTGACTGGTTTAATTTTTGTATATTACAGCTTAAGCATAACTTATACGGTAACAAGCAGTATAAGCCTGTAGAATGCCGTAAATGTAAAGCCGAAAGGAGGAATTGAGGGTCATCTTTCAGATTTCCATTTACTAGACAGAGTTTGGTTTTCACCAATATCGCCGTTTCCTTAAATTGCCGAGATGACAAATCACTTACATACAACTCTGACTTTTAAAGAAGAAATATAAAAATTGAACATGTATGATTTAACCCGTTGGCCATGATTTATTCCGTGTTTCGCCATGTACATTTGCAAATGGTACCAGTTTTGCTCCATTTTACCGTTCATTAATCTTTAGGTGAACCAATGACTGTAAGGCAATCTCACTACGACATAGATGTAAGCCGTCATCCTGCGTTCAGGAGATAGATCTCAGGATAAAGCGAATTGAACATCCCCATTATTCTTGAATTTGTAGTCTTGTCTGTTTATTCTGTGCAGTGGAATGATAGGTAATCATTTCTGATGGCAGCAAGTTTGGATCTAGAACTTGTTAACTGGCAATGCGGTGGATGCTGGTGGTCAGCAAAGAGTTTTGTCCAGAGATCACGAGTGCGTATGAGGGACGAATTTGCTATCCTGAATATAATTTGTTTAGACTTAATTCCGCTAATGTAGCTGAAAGGCATCTAACTGTTAGAATTTCGGTCTCCATTATCCTTCAGTACAATGGGCACCATCTGCGGTACCATTTTTCATTAGGCTTATTAATGATGACATGTTGATCTTCGTTTTGATGTCATCAGCCAGGAGTATTTTATATTTTTTAGAACTTCTTCTGTACCGTTTCCAGTAAGTTGTACTCATCTATTTATTTCGAAAGTTGAGAGGTAAATGACCGAGCGAAGATTCTAACTTTCCGTCTTTTGAGGAAGGAAGGAAAGTGTGTCTCTGTTGGAATGTCGATCTTCGTTCTCTTTCATGATTGGACCATTTTGGGGCCTTATTTTCATTTAGTCGATGGTGCGGTACTGATCTCTGTTTTTATCCATTAGAAAGGAGCGCCTTGTTTTTTAAAGGCAGAGTCTACAGCCATGTGGCTATCATGGTGTATATTAATCTGTTCCCTCCCGCCGAATGGTACAGAATCAACCTCAGAAGGAACAGTGGCGACGACCTTAACCTGGGCTTCAACTCGGGACTTATCAGCTGTGAGTTCGATGCTCTACCGACTGAGCAGTTCCTGTTTGAAGCAACGTGCGGTGAAATTCTTGTTCAAGGGAATTCATGCCCTCGCGTAGAATCGAATCTGGGACGTATGATATTCGAGGCATACCTCTTTAGACACTGTACCAACTTTTGTACTGAGTCTTTTGCCTGCCAATCTGTTAATTCACGCTCTCGTGAGTTCAAAATAGGATCACAATGTTTGATCTGCACGCAGAATGGATTGAATCTTAATGCTTCGTATCTGTTAGTTTGTTAGAAGAATTAGTGCTGGTTTATTCACCAGTTGAGATTCATGGAAAGGTTTCACTGAGTCATCTGATTCCGAATTTGAGTCATTGCCTGCTTTCCACGATTTTCATCTAATAGACTCAGTAATAAAGTATGACGCGTACTTATGTTGAAAACCGTTGTTGTCTTCATTATAAACAGTGGCCTTAAAGAAGCGCAGAACTCCTTTAAGAGCAGATTTCAATGATGTATCGTGTTTTGCTCTTATTGTCATCTGAACAGGCGATGTTTCTGTGTCATTTGAGCGTTTGTTAGGCTAGATACGTCGTGCATCGTGTTATTCGTAGCAGCAGTCTGTTGCTACAAATTTTAATCCTTTGTTCAAGAGTTAGAAATTTTCAGTTTTAGGCATTTTGACGGTTATTTCTGACTACACAAGAAAGGATGTCGCTCGATGTTTTGATCCAAGAGTATATGGACATGCCAGTGGTCACCCGGGCCTATACGACAGCATGCGTCTTAACTACCTTGGCCGTGGTAAGCAGCTTAATTAAAATCCTTATAAGCATGTGGTAATGTGTATTTAGCAACTGGATATTGTCACTCCGTTCCACCTGTACTATAACCCTGTATTGATTTACAAACATTTTGAGGTGAGTCGAAGACGACTGTTTACCGATGGTTTTATCATCTGCGTCGCAGTGTGAATATTGATGTTTCAGTTATGGAGACTAATCACGTGCTTCTGCTTTCTTGGCACGTTTGGGTTCAGTTTCTTGTTCAACATGATCTTTACCTACCGCTACTGCCGCATGCTTGAAGAAGGATCTTTCAGAGGCAAGACGGCCGATTTCGTGTACATGTTCTTGTTTGGGGGAACGTTTATGTGCGTAAGTTCACATGCTTATGTCATCCAATGTTAAACTCTCATCGAACCGTTTTTCAGATCATGGCACTGTTTGTCAACATGGTGTTTCTTGGTCAGGCGTTGACGATAATGCTGGTGTACATATGGAGTCGCCGAAATCCATACATCAGGATGAATTTTTTCGGCATTTTGATATTTCAAGCTCCGTATCTGCCTTGGATTCTGTTGGGATTCTCGATTCTGCTCGGAAATGCGGTCATCGTCGATTTTATGGGTGCGTTTTTCTGATATGTTACATTGAAGTATTCTCTGAGCGGAGAATAAGGTTTGGCTTACATCACACAAAGTTAAAAGCTTGGTAGAGGGCAATGCTTCTTTTCATAATCTTCAATCTTTGTCCATTAAAATAATGAAAATCATATAATTAAGACTGAATTTGCTAACATACGAATGACAAAACTAAATAAAAGTTCACATGGTCACTAACCTGAAATTTATATTGTTTGATTTTTCTGTTGCAGGTTATGAATGTAACATTTAACCTGCTGGAGAGTAGCTCATCATTTAAAGTGTTTGAAACAGAGGATTGACGTTAGCCTCTTGAAACGACCTCCAAAATGAAAATTATTGACTTAAACGACGGCAAAAAGCTTCAGTGAAAGAAACAGTAATGCGGTTGAACGTTCAACGCCAGCTTTTGCAAACTAAGTTAAACGGATATTTTTAGTCAGGCAATGAAGAGAACGATGGCCGTCTGGGAAGTAGCACTACTCCTCTGTGTTCAATTGTATCTTTAAATAAGACCCAATAGATACTGGGAGAATATGAGTGAAGTTAAATTTAAAAAAAATAAAATAAATAAATCCCTAATGTTGCAGAACACACGATTATTGCATGATGCTTACATAAGTGGAACGAATCTGTATAACTTGATTTTATCATGAATCATAAATGGCTTTATGATATTGTATTCCCCCGAGCATAGTTTTTTTCTACCAAATTGATAACGTTTATTATGATAAATATTGTTAATTGATGATTCTGCCAGGAAAGTGAACGAAACTTTGAAACTGTTGGAATGTTGGTCATTTTTAAACTTTCGCGATGGAGCAATTTCGGACGCTCTTTTCATGAAGAGTGGTGTGATGATGATCTTCGTTTCCATGCTATCAGCCAGCGATGTTTTATTTTAAAGTTGACAACAACAGTTTTGTGGAGTCAATAACAGCGATGTGGAAAGCATAGCCTGCAGTTTCCTTCTTGCCACAGAGTGGGTCTCTACCGACTGAATCACCCTGGTCAGATTCTGTCAACTTAACTTTTGTCAGGCAATAATCATTCAGTCATTTGTTCATTCGTGTCTGTAGTCCACAATTCCTTTCATTTTATAGGGCTGTAGCTTCACTGGGCTTTTCCAGTGATCCGGTTTGCTGTTGGAAGCACATCGTTTTGATGTGAGAGTCTACTGTCTGGCATTCGGAGTACCTGTTCAAGCCATCGTAGTTGTGTTTTAACCATATGGAGAATAAGTAGTTTATAATGAGGACATCTGCAGTTGCCCTGCTGGTTTAAACTAGTTGTTTTTAAACGAATTGTTGATTGTTTTCATCTTGAATAATGAATAATGCGCTGGAGTACTGAATGGACGGGTAAAAATATGAGGTACCCTCAACTACTGTACGATGAAATCGGTCGAGGCTGACTTCAATGTTCTCAGCCCTCGTCAGGTGTAGCAATCACAACAAGGTTTACACATTGTGCTGATTACCAGCCAGCGAAATTTACTTCAGCGGACTCGAAGGCACACGCAAAGTTGCCATAACTCTGGCTACAACAACGAACAAATACTAGACAACAAAACTAGCAGCGAAAGAGGATTCATATCAGCCTGACAAGTCTGGTGCACAATGACAGTTCTTTCTTATGATCGACCAGACATCTGATAGTTAGCGGAAACTGACCTTCGGTAAGCCTCACTTTGAAAAATAAAAGGAACGAATACGGAGTTTTTGCTTAGCTGCGTCGAAGGGCTGAAAATTTTGGTACAGTTGGTGTGTTTGGTCGATTAGAGTAGAAGTGCCAGGAGTATGTGCTGTCTTTTTCGAATATCTCGTTAGGATAAATTAACATTCGTCTGCGTTGCTGTTATGGAATCAGCCAAGTAGTTTCGAAAGGCTCCGGATGAGAGCCAGTTGTTTTTCCGCATACTACAGAATTGTGGTGAAGGAAGAGCGGCAAATGCAGAATTTCATGAAATCTTTCAGTACTTCTGAATCAGTGCATTACCTCCTCAATCAGCAAGGCACCAGAACTGATCATCGCACTTTACCAGCCATTGCGTTTCCTCCGTTGTTCTAAGCCAAGGCTAATACACAATCAACCCCAAGTATTTTATTGCAGAGTTTTTTCAAGTAAGTCGTTGCCTACCTGTGCTGTTGATGAAGCAAGTTCCATACAGGAAGGAAATTGCGGTTCGATGCATCCAGAGCATTGCAGCTTCGCACATATCCGAATTGCCAGGGATCAACATGTTCCAACACCTTTAAATAAATAGTCAGTGAGGTGATTTTTTCCATGCATTCAAACTAAATAGGAACTAGTACAATAGATCTCCAATCAGTTACTGTATAAGGAGATTTAGCGATAAGTTATTCGCACCGTCTACCATGAATCCGACGCTGCATCTTCTGAGAGACAGCGATTTTACAACCCGGTGAAGACTTCAGAAAGTGAGTCGGTATCAGTATTCGAGGCCATGGGATCTAAGCTGCCTGGTCTGCAGTCGTGGAAACTTTAATTTCGTTGAACTGTCGAAATGGCGTACGACGATATGCCTGTTTCGCAGTTCACATTGGTTGCTTCTGACAAGTTTCTAAGCGAATCACTGGCTGCGATCTCATTTTCGAACCGTAGAAACTAGTTGTTCAGAATTTTCATTCCGGCTCTCTGTTTTGCACAACCTGTTAATCGCAGCTCCTTGATCCTTCTCATTTGTACTCGCTAAAGTGCCACCACCGTGTTCGTGGTTGAATCGAGAAATTTCAGACGTCAGTTGCCACCATAGATGTTTAAAGTCCCATTTGTTTCCGAACATGTACTATTCGTCCTTTTGCCGAATCGGTCGTTTAATACTCTCTGATGGACAGGCAACGTTTATGATGTAAATTATTTGCCAGGGCAACAGGTATCCAAGTTAAAGTTTATGTACTCCGTTTCGGCTTCTATTTGTACTTTTGTCGTCATCATGGGAAACCTCCCAATCTGTTATTTCCGTTATGGACGGTGATTAGCTAATCTTTCCAACGTGAATAACCTCTGGATACCAACACGCTGACTGCACGAACGAAGGTCTTGCCACTCGTTTCTCGATTTGTTGCATGGAAGCAACTTGTAGTGAATTTTTGCTTGTTCAAGTAAATTGATAGTTACGAGATTTCTTTGGAATTTTCGAATTCGGCACCTCTGAGTCTCGAAGTCGAAAGTTTTTACCAGCATGGCTCCGCCTTTTGTATGTACATGCAAAAGGATCGCCTTCCATGATCTGTAAAATGATCAGTCAGCGTTCTCCTAATGTGGTATTTCTTTTACATTATGTTCACATTTTACGTAACCTGATATTTTTGCTGAACTGAAATGGATCTGAAATATAGTACACGTTTCATACCGAAGCAGTATTATAATAATACGTAAAAACAAACCAGATCATACAGGTTTACCAGCATACTACCGCCGCTAAGAGAAATAGCATTTTCTCCTCTGACACCGGATTCAAACAACTACATAATATTTGAGCATTCGCAGTAGATTTAAGTCTATCAAACTTTAGCCATTTGTAGTACTGATATATGAAACACTGTTTTAACCTTCTTTTTCCTTTTTAGGCATAGCTTGCGGTCATTTTTATTACTTCCTTGTTGACGTGTTTCCCAATCAGCCAGGCGGATTTGAAGTTTTAAAAACACCTGCGATTCTGTAAGTTCTTTAAATTTAATCTTTTTTTAAAACCTGTGAAATTGATTGCTTTCAAAGTATATTTAATTTACTACCACCATGTCAGTGGTAAAGGTAATAATTCGGTAAATGCAAACACAAATGGAAGACCGTTGTTAAGTTGTTACACTATTTAGCTAGCATTTTGGCCAAACCATATTTCTACCAATCCAGATAGTGAATGGCCAACGTTCTTTTATGATAACTTTTATCATAACGTTGGCAGTAAAATGAACATTTTAACTTGAGTCTTCTGATTATGTGTATATCGCAAATCTGCACCACACCGCTGATACGGAAAAGACAAAATTCAAATAGGTTTTCGAAATCCCGTTATACTACTATTTGTCTACCGTTATTAGTTATGCTGTTACTGTTTGTGAATTGAAGTTCCAGAGCAATTACGCGGTAGTCATTCCGGTCCACTACTACGGTTAAACGTCTACCTGTTTCAGCACTCGAATATTTAATCCTGCATTGTTCGAACGTTATGGTAATTTGGTCGAAGATGCTCCCGGTGGACAGGATCAGCCCGGTGGTTTCAACTGGAACGACAGGGCAGACGACGGACAAGCGCGATGATATGACTTTGTGATACCGACTGCACTGGTGCAGTAGCCTTGCCTTTTTGTATGCGCTTTAAACACTGTTGTACATTATATTACCTATGCATAAAGTAAATTAAACTTGATTCATACGAGTACTGGTTTTAATCAGGCATGCTTTCTTCTTCAAGTCTCGCTTTATTTGATTCTTAGTCTGTCAGTTACTTTCGATGACCGTTTGTTTTTGCGGGTCACAGAGGCAGGCGCATCATAAAGTTTCTGCGGTGTTTCTGATCATGTCCCAGTTTTGAGATTCGGCAAAAGATGACTTGATTTTGAGTGTGATTTCTGGTGAGATATGTGCCCCAGGTCATTCTTGGCCGTCCGCTAGGTCTTGTCCGGTCTGTTGAATAAGTGATAGCTGTTTCACCTTCTTTTCTGAAATCATTTGCAAGATGTGTCCAAACCATCGCAGCAGTGAGTTCTTATTGTGATGAAACAGCGGCTGTACGTCAAGGTTCTTTAGGATATCTGTACTGTGAACCATGTCGACACGCGTTCGCCCAACGATTCGTCTCAGAAAGCCCATTTCAGCTATTTGTACCTGGGATCGAAGTTTTACAGTCATGGCTTACGACTCATGACTGTAGGTGAGTGTCTGGGTAAAAATCGATGTCAACACAGGCAGCTTAGTCTTGAGACTCAAGTCTGTTTTAGATATAGCTGTTTAGACTGGTTCACGCAGAACGTCGCTAGTCGATTTCTTCCATTTTTCATCACCTATAGACGTGGCCCCGTGATATGTGAAGTTGTTCACCTGTTCAATTGCTTCTCCTATTTATCTGCAGATTACAGTGGGCAGGAGAACAAAAAACTGCTGACTTTTCGTTTTAGGTACGTTCACACGCATGCCGTCACGTCGCATTCAACTGCGAACCATTCCAGAGAGCGCTAGAGATTAGTTTCAGAGGATGCCAACAAACGAAGTGGTTTGCAAACAACAATCTTCTCTTCTCCGCAGTCCTACCTTGATACATTTGTCTTCATGGCCGAGGTGATTATTCTGTCTCTGTCTATCCAAACGGGTACAAGGTCGGCTGTAAAATACGTCAAGGCTTGATGATGTCATTGTGAGCACATATCGTCATTAAATAAGTTTGCAGTTGCATTCTACAATGCAATAGTCGATCCCAAGTTTAGTATAGAAGCTCTGTTTTATTCGAATTCTGTAGATATCGATTCTTGCTGTTTCGAATCAGTCGCAAGGCAGCAAATCGTAGACTCAATACTTGGCAGTTAATTGTTAGAGTTAATTTATTTGAACGGTACTAAAAGTCTGAACGCCAAGCAAACCTAGTTCATTTGTATCCAGTTTGAATGTGGCCGCTATACAGCAACCCAGCTGATGTAATTTTGTTCACAGTTTTGCCTATATTTTTGTTTTATTCTCGTTACCATTTAATTATTTCATGAGGACAGTTCTGTTATTCTCTTATCTGTACTGAAACGTTTCTTTATTGATCTTATTTTAGCCGTAAATTTTCACCTTCAAATCGACACTAGCAGAGTAGAATCCTTCTGCCCAGTTTGTAGTCGGAATGTTCTGCCATACGAATTTAGCTTCAACATATGGAATGTGTCATCTTTTGTTACAGTTATCTCAATAAATGCGAATTGTTTGTTTTAGCAGGCAGTTCGATTCAGTGATCGTTATAGATTGCTCATTATTCAGTCAGCCAGTCAATCGTTTGTTATCATTTGTATTGTGACCTCTCACCT